TTTTTTATTTAATTTAAATTACTTATTATTTATATTTTATAATAATATATATACAATATATATAGTTATTATATATATTATATATATATACGTGTGTAATTTAATTATAAGTGTATTTTTATATTAATATAAGTACATATTAATATAAAAATACACTTAGTATGGCATTATATATATATGATATATAGACATGTCTATATATCATATATACACAAATATAATTTTTTTTATTTTTAATTAACACTAACTTTATTTTTTTTTAATGATTTTACACTAGCAGGGAGACTGCCTGTCAGCACAGACAGTCCCCCTGCAGGCAGCACTATGGACACCTATTGTGACAGGGGTCCTAAATCAGTGTGGGGAGGCTGTCTGGGCTGCAGGCAGTCTCCCCACAACTGGAGCCACGCTGATCGCCGCCGGGGGAACGACGGCGATCAGGTAAGTAACTAAGACCGTTAGGACGGTTCAGGACCGTCATCGGTCCTCAAGGCAAAAATGCCGATGACGGTCCTGAACCGTCCTCGGTCGCTAAGGGGTTAAACACATGGTGCAATAAGAGACCATCATAACCACTTAATTAAGCTAAATTTGGTTTGGTGCTTAGTGTCCCTTTAAAATAGCACCTACAGCAAACTAATAGGTATCAGCATCACCCAGTACTGTCAGCGTTGTCCAGTCCAAGGATTCTGCAATTCAGCCAGGGTGTCAGGATTGTATCCTGACAACTATGTTTTATCTTAATTTATTTATGTTCCTTTAAAAGAACTTACAGCTCGCCACCACTAGTGGCCTCCCTATCCACTAGTCACCTCAGTCCTCACCTGCATAGGACTAATTGCAGATGCTACAAAAGGCCACACCCGAGAATACCATCGGGCTTTACATTGAAGTTGATGATTTACCAGAAACACTTCCTATCCTGGCTCCTGTGAACCTGCTTCAGACTTACCTTCAAACCTGCTCCATACCAACCTGCTCCTAACAGTAACCTGCTCCACCCTTACCAAAACTTTAAACCAGCCTGCCTCTGTAACCAGCCTGCCACTGTTACCAGACTGCCTTTGATACCAACCTGCCTTTGTTACAACCCTACCTGGAAATAAGACATTATTTATTATTTGCAAGTAACCTGTTCTGTGGCATGTATCCTGTTTTGTGGCATATTGCCTAAATTCGGTTTTGCCTCAAGTTTCATATGTCTAAAATCACTAATAAAGTACCTGAAGTCAATCCTGGCATAAGTCTCCTATCTGACCTGCACAAGATCATGACAGAATGTAAAGGCCTTAAACAGGAGACTACATGGTTAACTGATGTTTTGAAGATCCTAGCTGAGTGTTTATTGGAATTCTGCAAACAGGGCCGCCATCAGGGCATGACAACCATAACGGTTGTCATGGGCCTGGCGGTCCTGGGGGTCCCGGACTGCTCTGGGAGTCCTGGGCCCCACATTCCATTTGTGCACATATAGATAGCGATTATCGCTATCTATATGTTCACCTGCGGGCCCCGGCTACCTGTAGAATGTAGACTGGGACGAGCCAGCACCATCTTAACTCTCCAGCAGCCCCTGTGCCTGTAACTATCGTGAGCTCCGTGGCCGGCAGAGCGTTGTCACAGGTTACCATGGCAACGCTCCGCGCGGCAAACAGGCACAGCTTGCGAGACTTACAGGCAGGAGCTGCTGGAAAGTTAAGATGGTGCTTGAGGGGTCCCCGTCTACATTCTACAGCGGCTGGCTCCCTCCACTACACCACCGGATCACCAGGGATGCGATCTCCTCCCTCCCTGGCCAGGTAAGAAGCAGGGAGGGGGGAATAAAATGTAAATACCACCGAAGAGGCTCACCCTCCAATGCAGTCCCCTATTTTACATACAGCCCCCACATTTACATACACTAAAACCACAACACAAACGCACACTGCATTCACCATACACACACTAAAACCACAACACAAACACACACTGCATACACCATACAAACACTAAAACCACAACACAAACACACACAGCATACACACACTAACACACACTGCATTCACCATACACACACTAAAACCACAACACAAACATGCACTGCATTCACCATAAACACACAAAAACCACAACACAAACACATACTGCATTCACCATACGCACACTAAAACTACAACACAAACACACACTGCATACACCATACACACACTAAAATTACAACACACACACTGCATTCACCATACACACCCTAAAACCACAACACACACACACTGCATTCACCATACACACACTAAAACCACAACACAAACACACACTGCATTTACCATACACACACTAAAACCACAACACAATCACACACTGCATACACCATACAAACACTAAAACCACAACACAAACACACACAGCATACACACACTAAAACTACACCACACACACTGCATTCACCATACACACACTAAAACCACAACACAAACATGCACTGCATTCACCATAAACACACTAAAACCACAACACAAACACATACTGCATTCACCATATGCACACTAAAACTACAACACAAACACACACTGCATACACCATACACATACTAAAACTACAACACACACACTGCATTCACCATACACACACTAAAACCACAACTCACACACTGCATTCACCATACACACACTAAAACCACAACACAAACACACACTGCATTTACCGTACGCACACTAAAACTACTATACAAACACACACTGCATTCACTATGTACACACTAAAACCACAACACACACTCTGCATTCACCATACACACTAAAACCACAACACAAACACACACTGCATTCACCTTACACACACTAAAGCCACAACAAAAACAAACACTGCATTCACCATGCACACACTTAAACCACAACACAAACACTCTGCATTCACTACACAAACACACACTTTATCGAAAACACACAAAACTACATTCATTATACAAACGTGCAATCTGTACCCATTTTACACACCACACAGGCCATCCTTGTGGTTGGACTCAAAATGGGCAGATTCGGGGGGCGGGCCCAGGGGGCCCACATTTTGAACTGTGTCAGGGGCCCCAAAATTTCTGATGGCAGCCCTGTCTGCAAAGCCATAACAAGTGTGGTTCAATCATGTTCCAGCAATCCTCCTGAAAGGAAAAATCCGGAGAAAAAGACAGTCAAGAACCAATAACTAAACTTGAACTGGAAGAAAGAAGTTGAGCTGATTTATGCTATTATTGTGGTGATACAGGACATCGCATTTCCTTCTGTCAAGGAAGACCTCCTAAACCACCTCTAACGGATGACCCAAACTTACAGACCACAGAAACAAATTCTCCCTTAAACAATGACTATAACCACTGCACTTCTGATTTAACCCAAGCAGACTTACCTTCTTGTCCTCCCTCAGATGATTTCCTAAAATCTCAGGATTCAGAAGCGGGATCTATAGAGATGGACTACGATGCTCCACCCTTAGATGGCATGTGTTCAGAGGATCAAGTCATGAGTGAATGTCCTGAACCTATGGCAGCTACAATGACTACTTCTCCAATCATCCAATCCACAGAAAAGCGGAAAGTACCTGGGAAGAATACGGCAAAACCTCCATTTTGTACCCTGGCCTTGAAAAAGCCAGCGATGGTACTATCTTACCAAAAAGAGAAATCTGGAATTATGAAACCCTCTGGAAATCAATGGCGTTTGTGGATGGAAAACCCCCTAAGAACACCTGTAATCAAGTCTCAACCTGCTCTTCCTCTTAACCCGTAACCTTGGGTACACGAATAACTACCCTGAAAAAACCTTCTGAACCTCAGACTCTCAATTCTGGGTTAATTAAGAAGAATTATGAACCCATCTCTACACTACAGATAAAAGAAAAAAGAATAACTGAAGAAATTCCTCCTGAGTGCGTCAAAGCCTCAAATGGTACAATTGTGCGTCTAAAAGATCTCAGAAAAGAGAAAATCCAAGAGAAAGAAATGATTTTGATTTCTGTTTATTGTGATCTGTACTTTTCTACATTTGATATCCTTTTCAGTTCCTCCACAGACCTTCGCGTCCAGAGTCCGCTCTTGAAGGGGGAGATTGTGTCAGGATCGTATCCTGACAAATTTGTTTTATCTTCATTTATTTATGCTCCTTTAACCCCTTCGCGACCTAGGACGGTTTTAGGACCGTCATCGGCATTTTTGCGTTGCCGACCGATGACGGTCCTGAACCGTCCTAACGGTTTCCGTTACTTACCTGATCGCCGTCGTTCCCCCGGCGGCGATCAGAGTGGCTCCGGTTGTGGGGAGACTGCCTGCAGCCCAGACAGTCTCCCCACACTGAATTAGGACCCCTGTGGCCATGTGTCTGCCTGCAGGGGGACTGTCTGTGCTGACAGGCAGTCTCCCTGCTAGTGTAAAATCAAAAATAAAAATAAAGTTAGTGTTAATAAAAAAAATTATAATAATTATATATGTGTATATATGATATATAGACATATATTATATTTATATAATATATGTCTATATATCATATATATAATGCCATACTAAGTGTATTTTTATATTAATATGTACTTATATTAATATAAAAATACACTTATAATTAAATTACACACGTATATATATAATAACTATATATATTGTATATATATTATTATAAAATATAAATAATAAGTAATTTAAATTAAATAAAAAGTTTTTTAAATAATAATAAAAATTTTAAAAAAAATTATATATCTATATGAGATTTTATTCTAACTGTATTTTAAAATTAATATATATATATTTATATCAAAATACACTTAGAATGAATTTGTATATATATATCTATGTATATAAAAATAAATAACAATAATAAGAAATATACATATGTCCATATACAAAATTACATAAATAATTATATAAATATACACGTAGACTTCAAATATATAAATATGCATATATATTTAAATTCTACGTGCGTATTTATGTAATATTTTACATAATTCAGTAATTTTATTGATTGCAATTTGAGGGACCTGCCTGCCAACCCAGGCCGAAATTCCAGAGAATTGAATTTGTTAGCACTGTATTTTACCCTGTAACGTTCTACGACACCCTAAAACCTGTACATGGGGGGTACTGTTTTACTCAGGAGACTTCGCTGAACACAAATATTAGTGATTCAAAACAGTAAAACATATCACAGCGATGATATTGTCAGTGAAAGTGACTTTTTTGCATTTTTTTCACACAAACAGCACTTTTACTGATGATATAATTGTTGTGATACGTTTTCCAGTTTTTAAACACTAATATTTGTGTTCAGCGATGTCTCCCGAGTAAAACAGTACCCCCCATGTACAGGTTTTATAGCATTTTTGAAAGTTACAAGGTCAAATATATGGGTCAAATAGTTTTACATTGAAAATGGCCAGGTTGGTTACGTTGCCTTTGAGAGCGTATGGTAGCCCAGGAATGAGAATTACCCCATGATGGCATACCATTTGCAAAAGAAGACAACCCAAGGTATTGCAAATGGGGTATGTCCAGTCTTTTTTAGTAACCACTTGGTCACAAACACTGGCCAAAATTAGCGTTCAATTTAGTTTTTTTACTTTTTTCACACACAAACAAATATGAATGCTTACTTTGGCCAGTGTTTTCGACTAAGTGGCTACTAAAAAAGACTGGACATACCCCATATTGAATACCCTGGGTTGTCTACTTTAAAAAAAAATATGTACATGTGGGGTGTTATTCAGAGATTTATGACAGATAATAGTGTTACAATGTCACTATTGATAAATTTTAAAAATGTATGTTTTGAAACCGCAATATCCTACTTGTACCTATAGCCCTATAACATGCAAAAAAAAGCAAAAAAGCACGTAAACACTGGGTATTTTTAAACTCAGGACAACATTTTGAATCTATTTAGCAGTTTTTTTCATTCGCTTTTGTAGATGAGTAAAAGATTTTTCAAGTAAAAGTCAAAAAACATGTTTTTTTTCAATTTTTCATCATATTTTTTTATTTTTTTTAAATTAAAATACATGAGATTATATAAATAATGGTATGTAAAGAAAGCCCCTTTTGTCCTGAAAAAAACAATATATAATTTGTATGGGAACAGTAAATGAGAGAGCGGAAAATTCCAGCCAAACACAAACACCACAAAAGTGTAAAAATATGCCTGGTCGCAAATGTACAACATCGCAAAAACAGTCCAGTCCTTAAGGGATTAAAAGAAGTTACAGCTCTACACCACTAGCGGCCTCCCTAGCCACTAGTCACCTCAGTCCTCACCTGCATAGGACTAATTACAGATGCTACAAAAGGCCACACCCGAGAATACCAGTTGCCATTACATTGAAGTTGGTGATTTACCAGAAACACTTCATATCCTGGCTCCTGTGAACCTGCTTCAGACTTTCCTTCAAACCTGCTCCATTCCAGCCTGATCCTAACAATAACCTGCTCAACCCTTACCTATACTTCAAACCAGCCTGCATCTGTTACCAGACTGGAAATAAGACATTCTTTATTATTTGCAATTAACCTGTTCTGTGGCAAGTATCCTGTTTTTGTGGCATATTGCCTAAATATGGGGGGGAGGATGGGGAAAGATGGGGGGAGGAGAGACCATTAAGGGAAAGATGGGGGAGGGAAGAGACTCTAGGGGACATGGGGGAGGGAGAGCACAATGGGAATGGGGGGCAGAGGAGAGCACTAAGGGTCAGGGGGAGCATTAAGGGATGGGGACAGGGGAGAGCACTAAGGGACAGGAGGGGAGGGGAGGGGAGACCTCTAAGGGACAGGGGGAGAAGTGGAGATGACACCACTAAGGTAAGGGGGAAGTGGTAGAGATCATTAAGGGTGGGGGGAGTGTAAGACACACAGAGAGGCTGAGGAAGGGGTGAAAGAGAAGCACAGTAGGACTGATAGGGGAGACAGAGACACACAGAGGGGCTCAGGAGAGAGACACACAGAGTCGCTTGTGAGGGAGACACACAAAGGGACGTGGGGGAAAAGAGACACACCAAGGAGCTTAGAGTAAGACACAAAGGGGTTTGGAGGAGTAAGAAACGCAAAGGGGTTTGAAGGATGTAGGAGACATACAAAGAGGGGGGTTAAGAGGCACACAGGGGGCTTGTAATAGATTCACTAAAGGGGTGTAAGTCACAAAACTTAAAGAAAACATATACAAAATAAATAAAGAAAATTAAAAAAGAGCTGCTCCCCTCTCAGCCCCTACCCTTCCCCACCCCACAGACCCTCTCTTTCACACTACAAACATACACAATGCATCCTTACACATACACAGAAACACATAGGCCGGTCCACCCAGTCCTCCCCAACACCGGCATATAGCCGGAAGTGCGGCCATGTTTTGGTTGGCGGGACACTTCCGGCTATGAGCATATATGGGAGTGGGTGGAAGTTTTTAACATATGTTGATAATTATTGTATTTACTAATTGCTATCCTCTGCTATATAAAGAGCTTTGAGCTCAGAATGAAATTAGATGCACTTGAGAAAGACCTATGTATGGTTGAAACGCGTTGTGCTTTTATTTAAAATTTTCTGTGTATATATATACATTTTTTATTTTAATTAGTTTTACAATAAAAATATCTCCTTACTAATTTTGGAGTCTGCTGCTAATCCATCAGTTCCAGGTTCCTGTGGATACATCTATACCAGCTTTCTATGTCTCAAGGAAGAGACGAGAAGTGTTAAAAGTTTAGAGCCAACTTTTAAAAGGCTCTGGAAATTGTGAGTGAGACTAAAACTTTCCTCATTTTTATATTGTATATATACAGGTTACACTATGTATGTTTTATTTACCTGTAAATAGGTTACAAGAACAATTTAATGTGTATGATTACCTGAGACATTATTCTAATATAAGGTAACATTCATTTTATTCTGTGTGCGCTAATCACCCCTTTTCTTTTTTTCTTTAAGATATTAAATGATGTCTAGTGAGCTCATCTTACTAATACACCAACTCTGGTACCTAGTTAAACCTGATGAATTTTCAGATAGGTCTTCACATAGGCCTTCATTATAAGATTCATATCACGGCTACTATTAGCCAATAATAATCTTTTCAATGATATAACTAAAACTGGATATAATCTTGACAGTTGGTCCCTGTTTTGTACGTTGATAGTGATCATTTAAATGAGCTCTGTCACTTTTAAGTTTTTCACAAAGTTAGACTTTGTTTGAAACTCCATACCAATAAGAAATACATGACATTATACAAGGACTCCTTAACATGATAACAAAAAGATGGCTATGCCCAGAAGGGACAACTTAAGGAAATTATGTCAACCCCTTCCTTCAGCCATCTTCCCACAAGTGCAAACCAATAGGGAAAGCCAGGACACCACTAGACATTTGGGTGAAAATCTCCAAAATCTCCTTCCAATACCTCAAGTAGTAGAATACATGTAGTAGAAAAACAACAAGGAGCCACAACACCAAAATTAATGTCAGAGAGATTTATTCCACCAATGTGAAACTGGCAATGTTTCGACTCGACTTCAGTGAACATGTCATCTTGTGGCATCTCTGCACAAAATAATAAAGATCATACATACATAAGGTTTGGAGATGGATTAACACCCACTGGGTATGCACGAGTGAAAAAACAAATTCAGAAAGCAAAATAAATGAGTCTGGCAGGCTTCCTTAGTATTTAGTCTTTTGGTTGTGCCCTTTTATTCTTGTTTTTGGTGGTCACTGGATATGTGGACAACTTCTTAAACTCCTTCCAAAGAGATGTCA